GGTCCCATTGTAAATGTCAGTGCAGGCAGGTGTGAGCTTATTTTTACGTCCTGTTTTCTAATGGGGTAGTTGGTTCTATTCTTAAATAAAGTTCAAGGAGTGGAGGATTTCTGGTGATTCTTTAGTGGTAACCAAAGGAGACAAAGAAAATGGCTATTAAAATGCACCCTAAGAACTGCCATGAGCACTCTCAGAAATCGTGAGACAAATAATTACTTTTCTTCTACCCTAGTTTTCCAGTCTCTGCTGGAGTTGAAAAGTGAATCCCATTCACTAAGGAGACAGGGACCAGAGGGACATTCCTGGCAGAACAAAGATAGATGAAAAAAAAAAAATCCATCAAACAGCCTTGTGAGTGTCAGAAGAGAGAGAAGCACTGCAATAGAACATGAAGCTTGAGAGTGACCAAGCTGAAGAGGGAGGAAGACTGTACACCAATGTAAGGGAATGGACTTTATCTTGTCATGCAGTGCTTTTCACACATAAATGCATTTAAAAAACACCTAAACTTGCTTTAAATTGCTAATTTCCGAGGGTTATCTATTCCTCTTCTCCCAAAGAGTAAGACTGCTTGCTCCAGAGCAAGGCCCAAGAATCTGCACTTGAGCAAGCACAGCCTTGCACCTTCTGCCCTGGTCCATGCACTGATTTAGAAACAAGAGGCCTCGCTTTTGGGAAGCCTGGTGGTAAGCTAGGGAGAGCCCCTGAAAGGTTTTGAACAAAGGAACAATGGTTTGGTAACATAGCAAGTGAACTGCCTGGGGTAGGTAGGAAGCCTGGTTATTGTAGTCACTGAATTATTGCAGTAGTGCTAGGAATGGAAAAGAGGGAGCAAGACTGACACATCTGATAGAGAAATTTGAGAGGAGGTAGGGGTTGATTCTGTGTGGGGTCCAGGCAGAGAATTCAAAGTGGATTCTAGTACATCTGGCTCAGGTGCCTGGGAATGAAAGGGAAGGATGCTATGGATGAAGGCAGAAAGAAGAGAAGGGCTTGCTTTCCTTTGTTTTCTGGGAGAGATGGAATTGGGAAGAACTTTAAGAAGAATGAGTATGTGGTGGACAAATATCACTTGATTCATCTATGAGACAAGTCCATGAGAGGCGTGAGGTAGTTCTGAAGTTCAGAAAGATGGTGTGAGTTGAGGATCAAATTTAAGAGTTAACAGCTTATAATCAATAGGTGAATCCATGGGTGAGAAAAAAGTCACCTGGGGAGATTCATAAAGAGAACCAGAAATGATGTAGGGTTACACAGTGAGAAAATATTGCAAGAGATCCAGCATTTCCTTTTGCCTCTGGAAAACCTCCTTTGCTTTGGGCTTCCTCTACAAACTTTGCATTTGTGATCCCTTTATGGCAGACAGCTCCAACAACAACAATAACTACAACAACAAAAATCTGTTCATTTTGATTGGAGTGTAATTTATAAATCACAGTGACATTAATTTCCCGACCCCTGGAAGTCCCTGGAAATGCTGCTCAAAATCTCCATGTAACCCCTCCTAAAACCTTTTTGTTCAATTTTCCCACATTTTCTCCAATTTACTCACTTTTTCTCACATTGAAGTTAAGTGGTTCTTTGGAGTTTTGTTTCTTTTGATGTGTATTTTTTTCTCTAATCTTGTTTCCATCAATCCTTTATTTTGCTCTTTACTTGTACTTTGCCCTGTCATTTTATCTCAATAACTTCTAAAACTTTTAGCTTTTACTTTGATCATTGATCACTTAAATATTATTATAGTCTTTTTCTTCCTTTTAATTAGTACAATTGTATGGGCTAGCCTAGAAATATATCACATATTGGGACAGGGATTTAGCTCAGTGGTTTCACCGCCTGCTGTGCAAGTGCAGGGACCCGAGTTTGATCCCCGGTACCAAAAAAAACACAAAAAAACACAGAAATGTATCATATATAGTAAATTCTATGGTGAACTATGTCCCAAACTGCATTTATGGAATACAAATAAATTCTAGTTTATGGCTGCCAGTATTGAGGAATATCACCATATACTATTTAAAAATATGAAAATGTTATTGTCCACAAACTGATAGGGTTTGTTATTTTTTTAAAAATTATCACTTTTAAGGAAAAGTATCTTGATTTGGTAGAACTATCACACTTCATTAGGAAAATATATTTGGACAAAAGTGACTTGGAAATGCAAGCATATGACTTAACCAGAGGATGTTAAAATTGGAAAGAAAATTCTACCTGCATTTTCCCATATGTGAAAACAGCATGGTCAAACTCTTGGGAACAGGCCTCAGAGACCAAAAAAGATTCCCTATTCTTACGGCTCTCACTAAATCCTTAGGATGCTGCCCTCAAATCATTCTATTAAAAAGGCTGAATTCTTACTTTTTAATCCCCAAGGGAGCTCCTGGGCCTGTGTTAGAGAAGAAAGGGGACTTATGCCTAGCAAAGAACATTAAGCTCAGTTTTTAATCCTTTCATTTTCAAGTTCTTGGGCAAGAAGCCAGAACAGTAATGTGAGTGCTCAAAACAGAGAGGCAGGATGGGGGTTGAAAGATGGGGTTTGGAAAGCCTTGGTCTTGCAGAAGTCAGCTCTTCCCATAATTTAGCCAACCTCCTTCTGTGACCTAAATTACCTTTATTTGCTGCATACCAGCATTTTCTATGCTGTCTTTGAATCCATGCATAATAATGGCGCCAATGTTTTTCAAGTATGGTTCTCCTTTCTGACTGAAAAATAAACTGAACACCATGTGTGGATTTCAGATGTAATTCTTTATATTAATTTTTCTCACAATTAAACAGAAGACACAGCCACTCTCTCTTCTTTGCTGATGATGAACTGAACTGGATAACGTTTTTGTAGGACTTGGGCTGAGAACAGAGTTAACAGCTGCTACCTCCTTGTCTTTCAGGTTTAGGGCAGGGAATGTTCTAAATATGCCTATTTACTCAAAGACAGCTATGCAGATAAGCACAAGCCTTCCTGCTTGGAAGGGGCTCATAAGAGTACAGTGTGATGAGCAAGGGAAGGAGGTGTCACTTAGTACTGTTTACAGTACATGAAGCTCACATTGATCTGAGGGAGTAGGTTCATGTACATAACACTTCTCAATTCCTTTTTATTGACCTTCCCCTCCCACCCACCTCCCTGTCTCTAACTCTAAATCCCCTTCCCCCATTTTCATTATTATTGTTATTTTTAGTTTGTGTTTCCAACAGGTAATGTTTTAATTCTTTGGGGGTATTTGGTACAGTACATGTCATGACACATCTGAAATAGCTTTACTCCACTCCCACCCTCATCTCCCTTCTCCTTTGGTCTCCTGGATCCCTTCTCATTTGCAGAAGATTCATGTCCTTGTTTCCATCAATCCTTTATTTTGCTCTTTACTTGTACTTTGCCTTACTCAAATAAGAGATACCACATGGTGTTGGGAACCATTCTACATAATTTTAGGAAAAAAATCATTTCACAATTAAATTAGGATTAGGGCTACATGAGGCCTAGTGTTCTTGTGGGCCGGCTATGGCATGCCAAAACATAACTCCATTTTGCCTCGGTCACAGCTGAGACCTCAATGGTCCCATGATGCTGTGATGCTCAAGGGCAAGATTACATCAGTTGAAGAACTTCTGGGTCTTTGAGAACCAAGTAGAAAGGTTTCACCTGGAAAGGTACAAACTCCTTATCAGTTTAACTCATATCACCTACTGTTGTAAGAACATCTTGGCTCATTTTACCGTCCTAATCAAAATAAGCTCCTCATCAACCTGAGATCTCATTAGCATAAGATCCTTGTCAATTTAGGATTACCACCACCCTCTGAGATACTTCCTCTGATTATAAGATCCTCTGCGTCCTAGGATTACTGCTGCCCTCTGAATCATCTGTTACTCCCTATGAATCCAATAAATAGTGGCAAACTCAAAATACCTTCATCTTTGCTGTCCAGAGCAGCACTGATCAGGCCAGAACCCAGTTTCTTCTCTAAGTCTTGTTTCCTGTCTTAATTCTTTAATTTGCCTTGTGGTGTCATGGCTCACAGGAGACCAGTAGCCACTCCTGGGGTTCTGGTAACATCCCCTTTCCCTGTTCCCTACAATATGACATTTAAGCTTCATTTTATTTTATTTTTTAAAATTCTTTTATTGGTATATTTTAGGTATACAATATGTTTACATTTATCATTGGGTGCTTGTACCTGTACATGATG